CCCCCCCCCCCCCTCCGTAATCACAACTGGATATACGCCTGGCTCTCTCTCTTCCCTCGCCGGGATGGCGCTGTCTGGATTTTTTCAACAGGTCATGCACACGGAGACCGTTCTGCCGATGCCACCATCGCCCGCCTTCCACGCCGCTGCTCGCACCCGACGGGAAAAGGTGGTGGCGGATGTTACCCCCAGAGGCGGCGAGGAAGATAACGCCGCCGTCGCCGGGGATGACGACCCGCGCGGTATTACCCCGGGGTTACGGCCATCTAAGGCTGCGGCTACGAAGACCCTTGTAGTGGGGGTAGCTTCCGCGGAGGGAAGAGCGGAGGAGGGGAGCGATGTTCCGGCAGCAGCGGCGGAAGTCGCTACGGGCTGCAGCAGAAGTAGCGGTGGCGGAGGGGGCGAGAATAACGGCCGGCGACAAGCGTCCCTCCCGCTTGCGTCGCCGGCAGCGGCGGGGACGGCAGGTGCCTGGGGACAGCCGTTGTCCGACCACGTCGACAGCAGCAGCCCGAGGCAACACCAGCCGCCGCGTTTCCGGCAACAAGAGCAACGGTCGACGGGGTCCCGCGCGTGGGAGGGGCTTCGCACCGTGGAAATGGCGTCGCAAGCGGGAGAGGGGCAGGACCGGTGGTCGGGCACGGAAGACCCCACGGACTCGGAGTCTGGTTCTGACTCGGAGGCGGACGATGACAGCGACGACGACGACGACGGGGGGCCCCGTACGGCAAAAGACACCACCCACCTCCGTGGGGATTATGACACGGAGCCCCGATCGTCACCGTGGGCTGGGCGTCAGCAGCAGCGGCAGGGGGCCGACGGTGGCGTGGCACACGGGGGTGCTGACCCTGCTGCGGTTGCCGAGGCTGTCGCAACGACCGGCTTGAGCGACGAGAATCGCGGCGGAGGGGGTAGTGGCGGCGAGCCGGGGGGTGTTCCGGACCCGCCGCTACCGGCGGTTCCGTCGCCGAAGGCCCGGTCGCCGACCCCTCTAGTTTCCCTTCCTAGAAAAGCTGTCCCGACGTCACCCTATGCTCCCGTTGCCAAGCTGAGAGGTGGCGGTGCGGACGGGGGTGAAGGGGGCGAAGTTGACTGCGATGCCGATGGTGAGGACAAAACNGGGGGGGGGGGGGGGGGGGGGGGGGGGGGGGGGGGGGGGGGGGGTTGGCGAGGCGGAGGTGAAGGGGGAGGAGGACGAGGAGCGGGAGGAGAGGTTGATCCAGTGGGAGTTCTTAAACGGTTTCCTGCATGAGGTTAGTTGGAGGCATGGGGTGCGTCCAACATAACACGTACGCCTTGATGCTGTCGTGTGTGGTCCCATGGAGAATGCCTTCTGCAGGGGGAAATTATCCGTGAGATTGTGTTGGTCTGATCGGGGCCCGTAGCACAGGGCTCGCCCGCACTGGGGTGCTACTGGGTCGCCTTGCAACGACGTTCCTACATTCGACGGCGCTTCTTTCCAATTGGAACAACAAGAAGAGTCATTCCGTACCTAACAAGGAAAGCCCAAACCCAACCTTTTTGCTGCCGCCGCGTTTCCTCGCTTGAGCCACGAAAGGACATAAAACGAATTTGTTCGCCGCGTACGCGGGTACTGCACTAGAATTGGCACTCCTCGCGGAAGGAATAACATCGTGACCAACAGAACTCATTGTTCAACGTTCAAACGACTGCATGCATGCATGGCAAACAGCAGCAATCGAGTACCCTCCTCCCTCCCCCATGTGCTCCGTCCATCCTCTGGAGGACGCTTGGTTAACGGTCTAACAAATAAGGCATCCAAAACACGATTACCCCCCCTCCCCTCCCCCTCCCTTGTAGGAAGGAGCGGTTGGCCATAGGTCCGTGGGAACAATGGTCCGTCCGCTCGTGGACGCGTGGTCAATGGTCCAACCGACAAGGCATGCTGAACATGAGAGTACGCCCCCCCTCACCCACCCCCTTCGATTCCATTTTTTTTTTTTGCATCGCATCGCAGGTGGTCGCTAAGGTGGTTGGCAGACAGGGCCTCGGCGGCATAGGAAGCGCCAAGGGTAGTGAAGGCGGCGGGGACGGCGAGGGCGGGGTGTTGCCGTCACCCTTGTCGGACGAGGAGAGGGATGTAAGGGTGGCCGAACTGATGAGCTTCGGAGTCGACCTGCCGTACGAGATGCTCCTCACCCTGCTGAGGTACATGTCGGCTATGGGTTGCGTTTGGTTTGATGAGGGTGGTTCGTGGCGGGGGGGTCGTGAGGTTCGGGAAACAAGCGGGGGAGTGAGCTGGAACGGTCGACTGCTGGTCGCGCGGTTTTTGTCCACACGGCAGTGGACGAGAGAACGGTGTTGTTGTTGTGCAGACAGCGATGGGCGAGAGCGAATAATACTTGAGGAAAGCTCTGGCTCCTGGCGGGGTTGGATCGGGCTATGAAGACAAAGCACGACTAATTATGTGTTGTCCGGTTCGGCGTCCATATACATGCTGTTCTGCTCCCTTGCAAGCACTCGTTTCTTCCTACCATGATACACAACGAGTGTTTGCAGATCCGAAAGCTCGTCGACAAATGGGGTACACATGGGTTAGGAGATCGATGGATGGGGTACAGGGCCTGAGTACCGGACGCGGGTAGGGCGTCAAGTGGGGGGAAAAAACCCTACCGTCCGTGTGTCTGCTTGCTCTAATAATAGAAAAAACTTCAGACTCTCGGGTACTGGGTACCCCGCCTGTCGTTGTCGTTGTGTTTTTTTCGAGACCCGGTATGTTTTCTAAGCACGAACTGTCGAGGACACAGAACCACAGCCCACATCCCCGATGGAAACATCACGCTCGAAACGCGATTTCCAGGCCCGGCAATTGTCTAAGCACATACATATCTGAGGGCACACAAAATCTGCCCATACCCTCGATGGTAAGTCATGCTCGAAGCACGACTTTCCATACCCGGGATATTTATCAAGCGCCCGGACACGAACACCCGCCCACATACATGTATATCTCCGCGCCACACGCGATTATCCACGGCTGCGGTGACGGCGAAAATAAGGTACAAGGATTGGGGTCCGGAGGCGGCTACGGCGCTGTACCAGAGCCTGGTGGCCGCCGGGAAGGGTCTGCTGGAGAGGGTCAACCCGGGGGCACCCGTTCGAGGGATGCAGAACGGCGGCAACACCTGTTACATCGACAGGTAGGTGCGGGTACAGCAGTACATGCATGACGGCATGTGAATGTGATGCGATTTGGCGGCGGCCCCGACCGTTCGTCGTGAAGGGGAGGAGAAAGGGTTTATGTGATAGGCAGGGGGAGGCTGTCATGACGTGCGTATGGCGTGAATGCGCGATTGGAGGCGGCCTTGAGGGTTCATCGTGGACTGATGGGGTGGAGAGGAGGTCCACGTGGTGTTGGGGGGGGGGGGGGGGG